ATTCTCCAAAGCCCCTGAGGGTAGAACAAGAAGCAATGGGTGGAAACTAATCAAGGAGAGAAGCAATTTAGGAGAAATTTCCAGAACAATTAATCAGTGGAACAACTTGCCTCCAGAAGTTGTGAATGTTCCACCGCTGGAAGTTTTAAAGAAGATGTTGGTCAACCATTTGTCTGAAGTGGTGTACGTTTTTCTGCCTAGACAGAGGGTTGGACTAGAAGACCTCCAAGGTCCCTTCCAACTCTTTGTTATTCTATATTCTAGGGCTAAGCCCTCTCCCAACCCAGCCTCCCCCCCCCCATTCTTCTTATTCACAAAGGCATCCATTGAAAGAGAATTTCAAATAATCCGAATGAAATTCAACCACATAATTTTTCTCCTTGTCTTTGGTTCGCTCGAAAAAAGTTGGACGGGCACCCACAACTTCTGGTGGCAAGCTGTTCCACTGCTTAATTGTTCTCACTGTCAGCCTCTTGATGATTGGCCAAAAGTCAACTGGCTGTCTTTCATGTCTCAAGCGGGATTAGAACTCAAGAGTCTTCAGATGATTATTCGTGGTGAATGGGAAATGCTTCCGTTGCCAGGAATTCTTTTCACCGCCTCTTTCTCACCTCAATAAATCTCGTTAAAGAAGACCGCGGGAACTGTTCTCGCGAGAACCGCTTCCAGTGTTAAAGACTCTCCCTTTCCTTCCCAGCCTCTGGAAGACAGCTTAATTGCCTTCCGCACCCGATCCAAGAGACCCCTGAAGGACGTGCCCCTCGGTCAACTGGAGGCCGAGCTTCGGGCTCCGGACATCACTCCGGACATGTACGACCCCAATACGGCGGACGATGAAGACTGGAAGCGGTGGCTGGGCGGGCTGATGAATGACGACGTGGAAAACGAAGGCAAGTTTGAGGTGGAAGAAAACGAAACTTCGAGTTTGGGTTTTACTGATTAGACCAGGGGGGGCCACGACCTGTGGCTCTTCCGTCCCTCTTCTGCGGCTCGCTGTCACCGCTCGGCTCCACAGCCGAGCTGATAGGGCTTTCAGTTAGGACAGGTAGAGGAAAAAGGGCACTCCGCTAGGAGGAGACTCTATGGTGGGGAAATTGGACTTCCGGTCGGCTCCAGAATTGAGCCGTGTGAGCGGATATTCCAGTTGTGGCTCTTTTGAGTGTTTAAGGTTGCCGACCACTGGATTAGACTGATTTTAAAAAATATATATAGAAATGGCTAGTTTGTATTATTCTGTCCCAAAGGTGCATTTTTTTCAGGAGTCAAGAGGACTTTCTTGGTTTTTTCTTTCTTAAGTTTTTTTATTAGATGAAGATTAAAAACAATGGACACAGTGCGACATTTCTGGCATAAACGTTTCCATATAGTGATTAGATCTTACAACGGTTACATTTTATATCCACTACATAGGTAGGTGTAGTCGGTCAGATGACCCGTCCGTTGATCCTTTCTTTTATACAATTACTAATCATACAAATACACATCCAATTCCTACCTATCACACATTCTTAATACCACGTTTCCCAATTCTTGTCTCGGTTTTTCTATCCCGTCCTTTTCCCCTCGTTTCTAACCATTTGTCGCAGATTTTGTGATATTCCGATATTCGTTTTTTGAGTTCTAGAGTCAGCCTGTCCATCTCTGCGCACGTCAAGATCTTATCTATTATTTCTTGTTCAGAGGGAGTCTCTTTATTTTTCTATTTTTGTGCAAAAACTTGGTTCTTTTCTTTTGAAGGTGTTTCGCTTCTCCTCCAAGAAGCTTCTTCAGTTCTGATTGGAGGTTTGGAGAACGGAAGGATTGATGCTCCTTGTAGGCAGCTGGTCATTTGTGTCCCTTTTAGAGGGTTGCTGAGGCCACTTGGAGGTTTCTCTCTCTCCCCGTGGTCAGGTAGTCAAATTCAGACGCTTGGCAAACTGACTCATACTTATGACGGTTGCTAGGTCCCAGAGCGGGTCATGCGACCCGCTTTTGCAACCTTTTGACAAGCGAAGTCCATTCATTTAACGGCCGGGTTACTAACTTGTCGGCGGCAGGGGATTCACTTAACAGCAGTGGCAAGAAAAGTCATAAAACGGGGCGAAGCTCAATTAACAAATGTTTCACTTAACAACAGAAATGTTGGACTCAATTGTGCAATTCACTGAGGAATTTGCTCCTTGCATTTAAAGAGGAATTTGCTTCCTCTTTAAAACTTCCTTTTTCCCCCTCTTCTAGATGAAGCCGATGATGACGATGATCCCGAATATAATTTTTTGGAAGATCTGGATGAACCCGACACGGAGGACTTCAGAAACGACCGTGCCGTCAGAATCACAAGTACGTTCCCCTTATCTACGGCTAGTCCCCGACTTACAACCGCAGTACAGCCCGGAGTTGTGGTCATAGGTTTTTGCAGTCGTATGTTGAGACACCACATGACCAGCAGGAAACAGAATTTAATTTTTAATACGCGCCAGTGTGTCCACAATAAAAAATGACAATAAAGGTTATCTGTCTGTTTGCCTGCCTGCCTGCCTGCCTGCCTACCTACCTATCTTTCTATCTATCTACATTTGCATCTCTCTGTCTTCTNACCCTGAGCCGGTGAGATTTGAACCGCTGAACTGCTGATCTAGCAGTAGCCTGCAGTGCTGCATTTAACCACTGCGCCACCTCGGCTCTTGAGTGAATCAGGCGGTCCTTAAGCAAATCCGGTTTTCCCCCATGAGTTTGATCTGGCTGGGAAAATCGTATCAATGGCGATCCAGTGACCCTGGAATGCTGCATCCGTCGTAAGTGTGAAACAGGGCACTGAGTCACACACCCACCCACCCCCGTGCCAGTGTAACTTTGAATGGCCGCTAAGCCAGCGGGTGTCAGTCAAGATCTACCTTTACGGTGTTCCCAAGAAGACGAATTGTGTGTCACTTTTTTCAGCACCGTTTTCTGGCGGCGGCAAAATGAACGGTTGTAATTCGGGGAGTACATTATATACGATGGAGGTCGTTCTCGGATGACAAGTGTTCGTTTAGCAACTGATACTGGCTATGTATAGTATACATGTGATTGTATGTTATGAAAATGAAAATAAAAATATGTTTATAACAATATAAATCTCCCAAATAAATAAATGAAGCGAAATAAACACAGTGAGGAAAGTCATAAAACGGGGGGGCAGGGTTCCCTTCGCGAACGTCTCACTCAGCGGCATAAATGTCGGGGGCCCGTTGCGGTCGCAAGTGCGAGGACTCCCTGTAAGGAATGCGCTTAGACGGCTTTTAACAACTCAGGAGGTTGCTGTCAGCCCCTGAGCTGTGCCAGTTTCTCGTCCAGGCCGAGAAGGGGACCAGCCCCCCTGCCCAGCGACATGTCAGCGCCGAGGTCATCCCTATGGGCCCCCCACCGCCCCCCAAGCCCAAGCAGAACAAGGACACCGTCTTCATGGAGAAGCTCCATGCGGTGGACGAAGAACTGGCCTCCAGCCCCGTCTGCATGGATGCCTTCCAGGTAAGACCTACCAAAATATCTCCCCCCCCCCAATGAAAAGAGATAAGTTCTAGGCTGCATCAACAGAGGGATAGAATCAAGATCCCGTGAAGTCTTAATACTACTTTATAATGCCTTGGTTGAGGCCACACTTGGAATATTTGCATCCAGTTTTGGTCGCCACGATGTAGAAAAGACGTGGAGACTCTAGAAAGAGCCACAAAGGTGATTAGGAGACTGGAGAAGAGCCACAAAGGTGATTAGG